GCAATGGGTTGCGTTGCATCTCGAGCTGGGCTCGCGCTGCCTGTTCATGGACCAGTGCGTGGCGCCGCCGACCGTGAACCTGTTCGCGATGAAGCCGATTGTGTACCTGTTCGCGAACTTGTTCGTAAGCCTGCTCGTGACCATGGTGTTCGTGTTCAGCCTATTGGCGATCGCGTGGCGCCCAGTGATCCTCGTGTCGAGCCTCATGGTGTTCGTCACTATGAACCTGGTGAGGCTAGTCATCAGCGTACTGGCGGCCTTCATGGTGGGGCCGTTCGTGAAAATGTTCGCGGTGCCGTCGCTCGTGCATTTGTTCGGGAAGAAGCCGTTCATGTATCTGGTCGCGGGCATGGTTGAGAGCATTTTCGAGAACACGTTCACAAAACGGTTGTTGGAGCTGACGTCGTTCCTGTACCTGATCGTGCATCTGGTATTGCGCTCGGTCGCGAGGCTGCCGTTCGTGCACCTGTTCGCGATTCAGGGGCTGTTCAGGTACTGGCCGACGATTGGGGTCATTGTGCCGAGGGTGTTGTTTGTTGTGCGCAGCCCGGGGGCCCGTGGGTGGAGCCTGGTGAGTTTCGCGGTGAACATGCTGAGCTTCGGGCCGATCCAACTTGTGATCTACGTGGTGGACATCCTGTTCGTGATGAGGAGGTTCGTGAACGTGTTCGGAATGCTGCCGTTCGTGAACCTGTTCGTCACGACGCCTTTCAGGTGCCTAGTCGTCTGAGTGTTCGTGCGCATGTTCGTGTACTTGTTCATGGGCTGTTCGAGAGGGCGCCGTTCATGCGCCTTGTTGATAATATGGTCCTGCGCTCGTTCGTGACGCAACAGTTCGTGGACCTCTACGGGGGGGGGGGGGCTGGCGTCGAGAGGATCGCGGTGGGGTCGCTGGAATCTGTCGCGCGGGACGGGCTCGATGACGCCCTATGGCTGCGTGCTGGCGACGGGCTGGTGCGAGCCGCGCCGCTGGCGACGGCGCCTCCTTTCGCAGGGCGACCAAAAACGACGGCCACATTCTCGAGAGATGCTGCGGCCTTGTCTCGCTCCCTGCCGAGATGTGGTGACTGCGGCGGGCGCTTGGAGGCCCTTGCTCTCAGATGTGAGTTGGAGTGCCGGATGTGTGACCGCCGTGCCGGGCGCGTCGCCTGGTGTCAGCCGCGTCGATGGACTTTGCGCCTCAAGCGCGACCCCGCCTCGTGCCGCCCCGCCTGGGATTGCGACGGCGAGAGCGGCAATTGCTGAGCGGCTGCCCTGGTCTGCCCTCTCACTTCGGCCTCCCCCCCTCCTCGCCTGCTCCGTGCCTCCCCCGCTTCGCCTCTCTCCGTTTTGTGCTGGTAGTGTCTTCGTTGCCGCCGTTTGTTTGATTGTGTGTACTTCAAGTCGAAGAGTAAGGTGTTGCAGCTTTTTGTTTGCCCTCTTGCCGTGCTTTGTGGCGTCCCTCTCTTCTGCCGCCTGCGTGTCAACTCTGAGACTTCTGATTTCGAGGTCAGGACAGCTTGCTCGATTCTTATACCTTGACTCCTGAGCGTCGCTCACCTTGCCGGGGTTGAGCGATTAACTCTCGGGGGCCCCCTCCCGTGGGCGGCGCCCGCTCACGAGTCGCCTTTGCGCGCGCGATAGGTCGCGCATAGCGTAATCTTCTCTCGAGTTTCAGCTGCGTGGTCTTAGAGGCGAGACATTCGGCCCGATGTCGACCCGCCGCCGCCGCCTCCGGCATGCGGACTGCGCCGCCGTGATATTTGGTGGGGCCCCATAAGAGACCGCGAAACCTGAGGAGGGGCGCGCCAACGTGGGGGCGGCCGTGCTGCGCGAGTTCCGCTACTGGGGCGTTAGGTGGAGCTGCCCAGGGGGCCGCGAAGCGTGTGGGGCGTGCGCCAAAAAGGCGAGGGGGCGCCGCGCGAACCTTGCCATTCGGGCCTTCGGTGGGGCCCTTTATGGGGCCACGAGCCGTGTAAGGGTTGCGCCGAACTGGGGCGGGGATGCCATGCGCGCCCGTATGTGGAGCTCCCAGTGGGGCCACGAAGCGTGTGAGGGGCGTGCCAAAATGGAGCGGGGGTGCCATGCGAGCTCCGCTGCTGGGGCCTTCAGTGGGGCTTGCCTATGGGGCCGCGAAGCGTGTGAGGGGTGTGCCACGATGGGGCGGGCATGCGAGTTCTGCCGCTGGGGACTTGCTTAGGTGGGGCCCCCTTCTGGGGCAGCGAAACGCGTGGTGCGTGTGTGTGTGTGTGTGTGTGTGTGTGTGTGTGTGTGTGTGTGTGTGTGTGTGTGTGTGTGTGTGTGTGTGTGTGTGTGCGTGTGTGCCAAAATGGGGCGGGGGTGCCATGCGAGTTCTGCCGCTGGGACCTTAGGTGGAGCTCCCTATGGGGTCGCGAAGCGCGTGGGGTGTGTGCGGGTGTGCCAAAATGGGGCGGCGATGCCGTGCGGGTTCCGCCGCTGGGACCTTGGTTGGAGCTCCTTATGTGGCCGCGAAGCGCGTGAGGGGTGTGCCAGAATGCGGCGGCGATGCCATGCGAGTTCCGCCGCTGGGGCCTTATGTGGGGCCTCCTTGTGGGGCCGCGAAGCGTGTGGGGTGTGTGCCAAAATGGGGCGGGGGTGCCCTGCGAGTTCTGCCGCTGGGATCCTAGGTGGAGCTCGCTATGGGACCGCGAAGCGCGTGAGGGGTGTGCCAAAATGGGGCGGGGGTGCCGTGCGAGTTCCGCTCCCTGCGGGGCCGCGAAGCGTGTGGGGGTTGTGCCGAATGGGGCGGGGGTGCCATGCGAGTTCCGCGGTTGGGACCTTAGATGGAGCTGCCTATGGGGCCGCGAAGCGTGCGGTGCGTGCGTGCGTGCGTGCGTGCGTGCGTGCGTGCGTGCGTGCGTGCGTGCGTGCGTGCGTGCGTGCGTGCGTGCGTGCGTGCGTGCGTGGTGTGTGTGTGTGTGTGTGTGTGTGTGTGTGTGTGTGTGTGTGTGTGTGTGTGTGTGTGTGTGTGTGTGTGCGTGTGTGTGTGTGTGTGTGTGTGCGTGCCATGCTGGGGCGGGGGTGCCGTGCGAGCTTCGCCGCTGGGACCTTATGTGGGGCTCCCTATGGGGCCGCGAAGCGCGTGAGGGGTGTGCCGAAACAGAGACTCGCGGATCGCAGGAGCATAGGCGGGGAAGGGGGGGGGGCAGCGGGGGGGGGAAGGAGACGCGGGGCGCTGTCTCTTCAAAACGAGGGCCCAACACCGCAGGGTGGTTGGGGAAAATTACAAGCGCGTGAAGTATCGAGGCCAGAGCTCCATACCCAATCTTGCTGCGCTATTTTTCGGTCCGGAGATCGAGCTGCGAGGGGGCCTTGGGGCTGGCGCAGCCAGGCGAAAATTAGCTTGGCGAAAGACCCGACCATGCGCAGTTGTGAATGCCGCAATTGTGCGTGCCATCTTCGCCCGCGCCCCCCTGTGTGGCCGCGGCTTCCAGCCGGGGCCCGACGTGCTCAGGGGCGCCTTCGCGGCCGTCTTCGCGGGCGCCGGCGACGACGAGGACGGCGCCCCCCTGACCGAGGAGCAGAATCAAGAGTGGGCTTTGAGAGCCGTGAGGGAAGCTCCTATGGGGCCACGATCCTCGTGGGGTGTGTGCCGAAATGGCCCGAGGCCGCCATGCGAACCCTGCCGCTGGGGCATTCGGTGGAGCTCCCTATGGGGCCACGATTCTCGTGATGGGGTGTGCCGACATGGCCCGGGGCCGCCATGCGACCCTTGCCACTTGCGCCTCTCGGTGGAGCTCCTAAGGGGCCACGATCTTCGTCAGGGGTGTGCCGGAATCGCCCGAAGCCGCCGTGCGAACCTTGCCGCTGGCGCTTTCGGTGAAGATCCTTATGGGGTCGCGATCCTCGTGAGGGGCGTGCCGAAATGGCCCGAGGCCGCCATGCGACCCTTGTCGCTGGCGCCTTCGGTGGAGCTCGGCCACGATCCTCGTGAAGGGGTGTGCCGAAATCGCCCGTGGCCGCCATGCGAACCCTGCCGCTGGGGCCTTCGGTGGAGCTCCCTATGGGGCCACGATCCTCGTGAGGGGTGTTCCGACATGGCCCGAGGGCGCCATGCGAACGCTGCCGCTGGGGGCCTTCGGTGGAGCTCCGTATGGGGCCACGATCCTTGTGGGGGGTGTGCCGAAATGGCCCTAGGCCGCCATGCGAGTTCCGCCACTGGGACCTTAGGTGGAGCTACCAATGGGGCCGCGAGAACTGTGAGGAGTGTGCCGAATAATGGCCCGAGGCCGCCGTGCGAGTTCCGCTGCTGGGACTTTAGGTGGAACTCCTTATGGGGCCACGAAGCGTGCGAGGGGCGTGCCGGGCGGAAATTTAGCTTGGCGAAGGGTCCAACCATATGCAGTTGTGAATGCCGCAATGGTGAATGCCATCTTCGCCCGCGCCCCCTATGTGGCCACGGCTTCCCGCCAGGGCCCGACGTGCTCAGGGGCGCGTTCGTGGCCGTCTTCGCGGGCCTCGACGACGACGAGGGCGGCGCCCCTCTCGCCGAGGGGCAGGAGCAGGAGAGGGCCTTGAGAGCCATGAGGGAGGAGGTGGCGTTGCACATCGACAAGGCGGAGTACGACGCCCAGGCGCGGTTGTTGAAGCCGCGCAACTATGGGGCCACGATCTTCGTGAGGGATGTGCCGCAGTGGCCCGGGGCCGCCATGCGAGCCCTCCCACTGGCGCCTTCGGTGGAGCTCCCTATGGGGCCACGATCCTCGTGGTGTGTGTGTGTGTGTGTGTGTGTGTGTGTGTGTGTGTGTGTGTGTGTGTGTGTGCGTGTGCCGAAATGGCCCGAGGCCGCCATGCGAACCCTGCCGCTGGGGCCTTCGGTGGAGCTCCCTATGGGGCCACGATCCTCGTGATGGGTGCGCCGACGTGGCCCGAGGCCGCCATGCGAGCGCTGCCGCTGGGGGCCTTCGGTGGAGCTCCGTATGGGGTCACGATCCTCGTGATGGGTGTGCCGCAATCGCCCGAGGCCGCCATGCGAACGCTGCCACTGGGGCCTTCGGTGGAGCTCCCTATGGGGCCACGATCCTCGTGAGGGGTGTGCCGAAATGGCCCGAGGCCGCCATGCGAGCGCTGCCATTGGGACCTTCGGTGGAGTTCCTTCATGGGGCCGCGATCCCCGTGAGGGGTGTGCCGAAATGGCCCGAGGCAGCCGTGCGAACGCTGCCACTCGGGCCTTCGGTGGGGCTTCCTATGGGGCCACGATCCTCGTGAGGGGTGTGCCGAAATGGCCCGAGGCCGCCATGCGAACGCTGCCGCTGGGGCGTTCGGTGGAGCTCCCTATGTGGCCACGGTCCTCGTAAGGGGTGTGCCGAAATGGCCCGAGGCCGCCATGCGAACGCTGCCACTGGGGCCTTCGGTGGAGCTCCCTATGGGGCCATGATCCTCGTGAGGGGTGTGCCGGAATGGCCCGAGGCCGCCATGCGAACGCTGCCACTGGGGCCTTCGGTGGAGCTCCCTATGGGGCCACGATCCTCGTGAGGGGTGTGCCGGAATGGCCCGAGGCCGCCATGCGAACGCTGCCACTGGGGCCTTCGGTGGAGTTCCCTATCAGGCCACGATCCTCGTGCAGGGGTGTGCCGAAATGGCCCGAGGCCGCCATGCGAACGCTGCCACTGGGGCCTTCGGTGGAGCTCCCTATGGGGCCACGATCCTCGTGAGGGGTGTGCCGAAATTGCCCGAGGCCGCCATGCGAACGCTGCCATTGGGGCCTTCGGTGGAGTTCCCTATGGGGCCACGAAGCGCTGTTCTGGGTGGGTGAAGCGCAGGGAGGAGGGGGGAGGAGGGGGAGGAGGAGAGGAGACGAAAAGGAGGAGAAGGAACGCAGGGCGACGTCTCTTCAAAACGAGGACCCAACACCACAGGATGGTTGGGAAACAAAAGGTCCGCTGTGTAAGAATTTAGACGCCAGGATATCAGGGCATTCTCTCCTCCTTGTCCTCGGCCTCCTCCTCCTCCTCCTCCTCTTCTCCTCCTCTTCCTCGTCCTCCCCCTCCTCCTCCTCTTCGTCCCCCTCCTCCTTCTCCTCCTCCTCCTCCTCCTCCTCCTCCTCCTCCTCCATCCCTTTTTCTTTTAACTAATTTCGCCCTGTCGCACCCCGGGGCAAGTTTCGGGGCTGGCTTGGCGTTTCGCCTGACACGTTTGCGCCATTCGTGACCGTGAAGCTTTAAAATTGGCAACAGCTTCGCATATGGAGTTGTTTTTCCTCCCAAACTTTGGCTTTCGTTTTGGCGCCTCGCACATTGGTATCCAACATTTGCAATATGCAGAAGTTTCACGGATTGAGGGCGGGTCGTTGTCAAACTGTGGCTCTCGCCGTAGCGCCGCGCACATTCGTATTCAACATTTGGAAATATTTTACGGATTGAGGGTGGGCCGTTTTCAAAATGCCGTTATCGCCTTAGCGCCGCGCGCATTTGTTTTCAAACTTCGCAAAAACTTCACGGATTGAGGGCGGGCCGTTTTCAAAACGTCGCTCTCGCCTTAGCGCCGGGCGCGTTCGTTTTAAACGATTGCAACATTTTCACGGAATTCCGGGCAGGTCGTTTTCCAAAATGTGGCTCTCGCCTTAGCGCCGTGCGCATTCGTTTTCAAACTTTGCACGAGTTTCACGGACTACGGGTGGGCCTTTTTCAACATGTGGCTTTCCCCTTAGCGCCGCGTGCATTCGTTTAAAGCATTTGCAAGACTTTCACGGAGTGAGGGCGGTTCTTTTTCAACATGTGGCTTTCGCCTTAGCGCCGCGCGCATTTTTGTTAAACAGTTGCAGGAATTTCACGGGTTCCCATGATCGACGCACCAAACAAGTGTTTTCGACGGATTCACGAGTATGGGGGCGCAACAGTTTCGATGATTCGCGGTGTTGAAGTCCCAGGAATGGCGTTCTGGCTCGTTTCAGGTTCGTCAAGACGCAGCAGTCAGGTTTATCCGTGGCGTTGGAATACAGATTTTTTTCTGTTGGCATGCTTCAGGGTCTTCAAACGGATGTCTTCGAACGAGGCCGGTCCCTGTGGAAATGAACCACTGTTGGGGCCTATGAAGAGGGAACTTTTGGGGAGGGCTTATTCCAGCATCGTTGGTGACTTTTGGGTTTACACTGGTCCTCCTCCTCCTCCTCCTCCTCCTCCCCCTCCTTCTCCTCGTCCACCAGTTCACCAATACGCCAGTACACCATGCCGTCAACAGGCTCTGGGGGCCGAGGACCTCCCTGCTGCCCCTCGGCCATCGAAGACTGCCGTAGGGAGGGTTCCAAAACGTACCCCCGCCTTTTCAGACCAGTACACCAGGGTGAGGACCATCATAGGCTTTATTTTCCATTCACCACTCAACCAACTCATCATGTCCCTCCCTTCCTCCCTCCCTCCCTCACCCCCCCTCCCCCTCCCTCCCCCCCCCTCCCCTCCCTCCTTCCGTGCTGCCGCATGGGCAGCTCCAACTCCTGCTGCAGCCGGGGCGATGGGCCGCCAGACTGCGGCACGGAGATCCGGGACGCGCCGCTGGCGCTGGACCCGGAGTCGAACCCCGCCTTCGAGGCCAGGCCTCCTCCCTCGGGGCCTCCAGGGGGGGCCTTCAGATCCAACGTGCTGAACTTATTCGTTACGCGGAGCTCCCTATATGTGCATCTATTTGCTGGGACCTTTCCGCTGTGAGGTCCTGGGCGCAAGAGCTTTCGAGTATCAACGGGCTTGAGTATTGGCAGAGTGGGAGTGCCTCTAGTTGTGAATGAGTTGGAGTGTGACTGAGTCGCAGTAGTATGAGTGAGTCCATGCGCATGAGTCTGAATATGCCTAAACTTCGGATGGATGTATGTGCACGTCAGTGGCCTGACCATGACTGAGTGTGACTGAGTCGAAACGGCTACGCGATCCCGCCCTCCATGATGAAGCAAATAATAGGGGGGCTCATGCAAACGCCGAGCGAAACCGTTGCGCTTCGTTGGCTGGCCCAGAAGATCTCACGCAGTGGCTGGGCCGTGATACAGCCAGCCACGCCACGAAGAGGAGAGGAGCAATCCATAGGAACATCCGTGAAACGCTTAGGACTGGAACCACAGCAGAGGGGTAATATATAAGAACATAAGGAAACAACAAACAAGGATTCGTGCCCAAGGAGAGGCCCCATCGATCGGAACATACGGACAACACATAGGATTGGAGCCACAGGAGAGGGGCAATCTATAGGAACGTACATCATACGCCAAGGGTTGGTGCCCCAGGAGAAGGGCAATCCACAGGAACATAAGTAAAAGCCACGTGCCCGAGACTAGTCGGCGTAGGCGCTGTAGGGAAATCCGCAGCAGCCGCCGCAGCTTCTTGCTCTGCCCGTCCGTCGCTCTCCCTCCCTCTCACCCTCCTCCTTCCTCCTCCTCCCTCTCCCCGTCCTTCTCCTGGTCGGGACGCGTCCTCCTCCTCCCCCTCGCCCTCCTCCCCCTTCTCCTCTCCTCCCCCTCCTCCCCCTCCCCCTCCCCTCCTTCTCCTCCCCCCCTCCTCCCCCTCCTCCTCCTCCTCCCCCTCCCCTCCTCCTCCTCCTCCTCCTCCTCCTCCTCCTCCTCCTCCTCCTCCTCCTCCTCCTCCTCCCTTCCCCCTCTCCTCCTCTCCCTCCCTCCTCCTTCCTCCTCCTCCTCCCCCTCCTCCTCCTGGTCGGGACGCGTCCCACGGTGGAGAAACAGTCGGGGACATTTATTTTTATATAATAATAATACTAATAATAATGATAATGATAACAATAATAATAATACTAATATTTTTTTGGGGGCATTTCTGGGGCATTTTTGGGATATGTTGTGTTTTTTTGTCCAAAATTCGGCTGTAGCCCGACCTAAGCATAGTCTGCGGTTTCAAATACGCCCGGCCGCGCTGGTCATCTGCAGTGGTCCGCTCCCTCCTCCCCCCACCCCCCAGAAAAAGGTACACAAACAGGATTCGTGCCCAGGAGAAGCCCAATCTATAGGAACACGTGTAGAACACAGGATTGGAACCACAGCAGAGGGGCAATCTATAGGAACATACGTAAAACAGGAGGGATTCGCGCCCCAGGAGAGGTTCAATTTATAGGGGCATGCGTACCACACATAGGATTGGAGCCACTCCTGGGGCCTCTTGGGGCCTCCTTATGCCTTCTGGGGCATGCTGGAGCCTCTTGTGGCCTCCTGGGACCTCTTGGGGCTTCTAGGGCCTCCTGGGACTTCCTGTGGAGGATTCGTGCCCCTAGAGAGGCCCAATCTATAGGAACACAAGTAAGCCTTTGGATTGGAGCCGCAGGAGAGTGTCAATCTGTGTGAACATGTGTAGACCACGACGGACTCGTGCCCCAGGCGAGGTCTAACCTGTAAGAGCACACGGAAAACATGCAGGCATAGTAAAACACAGGATTGGAGCCACCGCTATGGTCTCCTGGGGTCTCCTGGGGCTTCCTGGAGCCTCTTGGAGCCTCCCGGGGCCTCCTGGTGCCTCCTGGGTCCGCCTCGGGCCTCCTGGAGCGTCCTGGGGCGTCCTGGGGCCTCCTGGGACCTTTTGGGGCCTCCTGGGGCCTCCTGTGGCCTCCTGGTGCTTCCTGGTGCTTTCTGTGAGTTCTGGGGGCCTCCTGATTGGAGACACTGGAGAGGGACAATCTATAGTAACATACCTAAAGCATCAATGATTCACGCCCCGGGAGGGGCCCAATCCATATAAACACGCCGAAAGCACAGATGATTGGAGCCACAGAAGAGGGGCAGCATATATGGATACACGTACTTCACCACGGATTCGGCCTGACCGCAGACGAGTTTGGCCACACACAGGCAGGCCGCTCGAGACATCCTCGCAATCTGCCCCACCCCCACCCCCTTGGGATGCGAAAGCCAGCGCCTCACCAGATATATCTTCATCATCTGCCCCTGAAGCGGAGGATCTTGGGGCGGTAGAACTGGCAACCCGGTTGATACATCCCCGTAATCTGGGCGCGAACGGGTAGGTGAGATTGCTCCCCCTTGGGTGTGCTGGGACCAGCGCATTGCCCGATACATCCTCATAATCTGATCTGAACGCAGCGAGCCTGGCCACCAAACCATGCAAGCCGCCCGAGACCCCCCTGGGATGCGAAAGCCAGCGCCTCGCCCGAGACATCCTCAACATCTGCTCCGACAGCAGAGGATGTTGGGGCGGTGACACAAGCTGCTCGAGACATTCCCGCAATCTGGGCGCGAACGGAGGAGTGAACCACCCCGTGGAGGCCCCCTTTGGGGTTTTTGGAAGCAGCGCCTTGCTAGATACATCCTCATATTCTGCTGCGATATAGATCATACATGTGATCATCATCTGTGTCATCATCATCCTCATTGTCCTCCTGCTGCTCCTCATCATCACCACCAACGTCATCGTCATCGTCACTGTCATCGTCATTGTCATCGTCATCGTCGGCGCCGTCATCATCATTATCATCGTCATCATTATCATCGTCATCATTGCTGTCATCACCAGCATCATCAACACCATCATCCTCATCCTCATTATCATCATTATCATCACCATCATCACCATCATCACCATCATCACTCCCACATTCATCTCCATGATCATCATCACCATTTTCGTCATCACCCGCATCATCATCAGCATCATCATCACCATCATCACCATCATCGTTCTCCTCGTCATCATAATCATCACCACCTTCGTCATCATCATCATCATCATCATCATCATCATCTTCATCATCGTCGTCGCCATCATCATCGTTATCGTCATCGTTATCGTCATAGTCGTCGTTATCGTCATCGTCATCATCGTTACCATCATCATCATCATCATCATCATCATCATCATCATCATCATAATCATGTCATCATCATTATCATCATCATCGTCATCAGCACCAGCATCAGCATCAAAGGCTTCATCATCATCATCATCATCATCATCATCATCATCATCATCGTCATCGTCATCGTCATCGTCATCGTCATCGTCATTCTTATTCCCCATGTCCTAAGTATGGGGTTCTTGTTATTGGCGGACCGCGCCGGAGGAGAACACAGACGAGAACACACCACTCCTCTCACTCAGACCCACTCATCAGACCCACTCATCACTCGGACTCAGTCATGACTCAGACTCATCACTCATCACTCAGACTCACTCATCACTCAGACTCACTCATCACTCAGACTCACTCATCACTCAGACTCACTCGTACTTGTACTCATACATCCACTACACTCACTCAGGTCCACTCATCGGATGACTCACACACGCTGATGTTGAGGATGTGTCAGGCGATTCTGTTGCTTCAGCACTCCTAAGGGGAGCGGCGGGGGGTATTTCCCTCGGCCCCTTTCGCGGATTTTTGTGGGGATGTCTCAGGCGGTTTGGCCATTTTCTCTTCCAACATGTTTCGCTTTCAGAGCAGTTTGCGAGGATGTCTCAGGCGATTCGCTGGTTTCAGCACTCCTAAGGGGAGCGGCGGGGGGGTATTTCCCTCGGCCCCTTTCGCGGGACTTTGTGGGGATGTCTCAGGCGGTTTTGTCTTTTTCTCCTCCAACATGTTTCGCTTTCGGAGCAGAGGCGATTCGCTGGTTTCAGCACTCCTAAGGGGAGCGGCGGGGGATATTTCCCTCGGCCCCTTTCGCGGATTTTTGTGGGGATGTCTCAAGCGGTTTGGCCATTTTCTCTTCCAACATGTTTCGCTTTCGGAGCAGTTTGCGAGGATGTCTCAGGCGATTCGCTGGTTTCAGCACTCCTAAGGGGAGCGGCGGGGGGGTATTTCCATCGGCCCCTTTCGCGGGATTTTGTGGGGATGTCTCAGGCGGTTTTGCTTTTTCCCCATATCCAAAGATGGGGTTCTTGTTATTGGCGGACCGCGCCGGAAGGACACAGAACAGGACAGAACACCACACTCATCACTCAGACTCACTCATCAAGACTCACTCATCACTCAGACTCAGTCCTCACTCAGACACACCACTCATCACTCAGACTCACCACTCAGATTCACTCATCACTCAGACTCACTCATGCTCTCTCATCACTCAGACTCAGTCATCACTCAGACTCAGGCGATTCGCTCGTCTCAGCAATCTAAGGGGGGCGGCGGGGGGGTATTTCACGGGGTCCCGTTCGCGGAATTTTGTGGGGATGTCTCAGGCGGTTTGGCCATTTTCTGATCCAACATGTTTCGTTTTCGGAGCAGATTTGGAGGATGTCTCAGGCGATTCGCTCGTCTCAGCACTCTAAGGGGGGCGGCGGGGGGGTATTTCACGGGGTCCCGTTCGCGGAATTTTGTGGGGATGTCTCAGGCGGTTTGGTCATTTTTGGGCCCAACATCCTTCGCTTTCGGAGCAGATTTGGAGGATGTCTCGAGCGAGGCGCTCATTTTCACCCCCCAGGTGGGCCAGATTTTGAGGATGTCTCGATCGGTTTGCTTGTTTTGGTGGCCAGGCTCGTGGCCCTAAGGGGAGCCGCCAGGGGTGGTTGCACGGGCTCGTTCGCGGCCATTTTGTGGGGATGTCTCAGGCGGTTTGCTTGTTTCTGGGCTCAACATCCTTCGCTTTCGGAGCAGATTTGGAGGATGTCTCGAGCGAGGCGCTCATTTTCACCCCCCAGGTGGGCCAGATTTTGAGGATGTCTCGATCGGTTTGCTTGTTTTGGTGGCCAGGCTCGTGGGCGCAGATTCTTCTCAGGATGCCACAGGAGGCTCCAACAGGCTCCAGGAGGCCCCAGGAGACCACATGAGGTCCCAGGAGGCATCAGGAGGCCACAGAAAGACTCAAGAGGCCACAGGATGTCCCAAGAGGCTCCAGGAGGCCCCAGGAAGCTCCAGAAGGCCTCAGGAAACCACAGGAGGCCCCAGGAGGCAACAGGAAGCGCCAGGAGGCCTCGGAAGGCAACAGGAGGCCCCGAGAGGCCCCAGGAGCAGGAGGCCTCAGAAGGCAACAGGAGTGGCTCCAATCCCATGTGTTTTACGTATGCTCCTATCGATTGGGCCTCACCTGGAACACGATTCTTTGATGTTCTACGTATGTTTCTATAGATGGTCCTTCTCCTGTGTACACAATCCTAAATGTTTTACTCATGTTCCTATATATTGGGCCTCTCCTGGGACACGAGTCCATTTGGCTCAAGCGTTCGCATGCCGCGCCGCCTCGGCCTCCCGCCTCGGGATGGCTGGCCTGCGCGCTGCTAGAGGGGCTGGCACGGCCGCCGACGACCTCGCGCTGCTGGTGCGCGCGGCGGTCCGCGGCGCGGTGGACGGCGGCGCGCCGCGCCGCACGGTCGCCGCAGTGGCGCGCTCTGCAGTCTCGGCCGCCGCGTTCGCGGCGCGGCCGACGACGCAAGCGCACGCTGCAGACGGCCGACGTGACGATCATGCTGCTGATGCCGTTGGCGATGCCGCTCGCCCAGCTGGTGCCTCCGCGGAGGCGAAGCGGGCGCGGCGTCGGCGCCGCCGCGCGGCGCGCGCGGCTCGCAAGCAGCAGGCGAACACCGACGGCGACGTGACGACGGCTGGTGCTGGCAGTACTGGTGCGGGCCTGGGGCTCGCCCTGCTGCCCACGGCGATGGCGGTCGACGGCGCCGACGACGTTGACCTCGCCTCGTTGGTCGACGACTCCTGGGCTGACAGCCTGCCTGTCGGCGGACGGCGGCGGCCTGGGCGGGGGCGCGAGGGCAGGTGGGTCGCGGAGGCGGCGGCTGCTGGCGCGGGCGGCGCGGGCTCTGGCTTGGCCGCCGCGGCGGCCGCTCCCGCGGGCGCGGCGCTGGCCCTTGCGAGGGCCCCGGGCGGGGCGGCGGCGGCGGAAGCGGCGGATCTCGCTCGCGGAGTGGGAGGTGCTGCTGGAGCTGCTGCGTGCGGCCTCGAGCGCGCCGGCCTGGCTGGCGGTGCCGAGCCACGGCGGCGTGGGCCGAGGCGCGCACGGGCGAAGGCGCAGGCGGAGGCGGCGAGGGCGGCGGCGGAGCTGGGCACGGCGCTCGCGGGAGCGGCGCCTGCTGGCGGCGGAGCTGCTGCCTCGGAAGGCCCTGGGGAGGTCTTCGAGCGTGCCGACTGCCTCCTTCGGCAGGCGCCTGGCTACGGGCCTCAGCTCAGCGCGCAGCTTCGGCAGATGCTGGAGTCCGTGAGCTGGAGGCCCGCCAGCGCCGTGTGAGCTGGGGAGTGCCTACGGTGGTCTGGGCCTTTTCAGGCTCGGCACGGGGTGGATGGTGGCTCGCGTGGCCGCCTCACCTGACGGCGCACACCCAGGCAGCGTGGCGAGCGCGCTGCAACTTGGAGGCCGCTGTCTGCGGAGCCTCCTGGCCGCATTTTGCGGCTCTCGCCTTCTTGGCGGCGGGATCGGCTCGTGCTGCGCGGGCTGCCTGGTGTGTACATGGGACACGAGTCCTTGGTGTTTTACGCGTGTTCCTATAGATTGCCCTTCTCCTGTGACTCTAATCCGCACTGTTTTATGTACGTCTGTTGCTATAGATTGCGCCTCTCCTGGGGCACGAAACCTTCCTAGGAGGTCCCAGGAGGTCCCAAGAGGCTCCTGGAGACCCCAGGAAGCCCCAGTAGGTTTCAGGAGGCCCCAGGAGGCCCCAGGCTCATGCACAGAGACGCGCTCGTACTACTGAGGCTCATTCACACTCCAATCCATTCGCAGTTAGATTGATGTCCAGACCGTCACAACTGAAGCCCGTTAATATTCGAAAGCTCTTGCGCCTAGACATTCACGGCGGACAGGTCCATGCGAGTAGATGCACGTATGGGGAGCTCCACGCAGTGAATACTTTCTCCTCCAACATGTTTCGCTTTCGGAGCAGATTCGGAGGATGTCTCAGGCGATTCGCTGGTTTCAGCACTCTAAGGGGAGCGGCGGGAGGGTATTTCACTCGGCCCCTTTCGCGGGATTTTGTGGGGATGTCTCAGGCGGTTTGGCCATTTTCTCTTCCAGCATGTTTCGCTTTCGGAGCAGATCTGGAGGATGTCTCAGGCGATTCGCTGGTTTCAGCACTCTAAGGGGAGCGGCGGGAGGGTATTTCGCTCGGCCCTTTCGCGGGGTTTTGTGGGGATGTCCCAGGCGGTTTGACCATTTTCTCTTCCAATATGTTTCGCTTTCGGAGCAGAGTTGGAGGACGTTCGCGCCCAGTTTGCGGGGATGTCTCAGGCGGTTTGGCCGTTATGATGCTGGGCATCCGTCGTTTTCGGAACAGTTTTGGGAGGATGTCTCAGGCGATTTGCTGATTTCAGCACTCCCAAGGAGGAGGAGGAGGAGGAGGAGGAGGAGGAGGAGGAGGAGGAGGAGGAGGAGGAGGAGTGAGGAGGAGGAGGAGGAGGAGGAGGGAGGAGGAGGAGGAGGAGGAGGAGGAGGAGGAGGGAGGAGGAGGAGGAGGAGGAGGAGGAGAGGAGGAGGAGGAGGAGGAGGAGGAGGAGGAGGAGGAGGAGGAGGAGGAGGAGGAGGAGGAGGAGGGAGGAGGAGGAGGAGGAGGAGGAGGAGGAGGAGGAGGAGGAGGAGGAGGAGGAGGAGGAGGGAGGAGGAGGAGGAGGAGGAGGAGGAGGAGGAGGAGGAGGAGGAGGAGGGAGGAGGAGGAGGAGGAGGAGGAGGAGGAGGAGGAGGAGGAGGAGGAGGAGGAGGAGGAGGAGGAGGAGGAGGAGGGAGGAGGAGGAGGAGGAGGAGGAGGAGGAGGAGGAGGAGGAGGAGGAGGAGGAGGAGGAGGAGGAGGAAGACGAGGAGGAGGAGGAGCAGGAGGAGGAGGAGGAGGAAGAGAAGGAGGAAGCGAGGAGGAGGAGGAGAAGAGGACGAGGAGGAGGAGGAGGAGGAGGAGAAGGACAGCAGGAACACGGTAGGAGCAGACGCAGGAAGGGGATGCTGCTGATGATGATGATGATGATGCTGATGATGATGGTGATGATGATGATGATGATGATGATGATGATGATGATGCTGATGCTGATGCTGCTGATGATGATGATGATGATGATGATGATGACGATGACGATGATGATGATGATGATGATGATGATGCTGATGATGATGATGATGATGATGATGATGATGCTGATGATGTTGATGATGATGATGATGATGATGATTATGATGGTGATGATGATGATGATGCTGATGATTATGATGATGATGATGATGATGATGATGATGATGATGGTGATGCTGACGATGATGATGATGCTGATGCTGATGCTGATGCTGATGATGATGATGATGATGATGATGATGATGATGATGATGATGATGATGCTGATGCTGCTGCTGATGCTGATGCTGCTACTGATGATGATGGTGATGCTGATGATGATGATGATGATGATGATGATGAGGAGGCGGAGGAGGAGGAGGAGGAGGAGGAGGACGGTGGGCAACTCGAGTAGCCAGGGCCAGACGATCGAGGTTCGATGCTCCAAAGCTTTAGGTTTTACTCAAACGCTTCCGCCTCACTCTCCTTCGCTTTCCGCTCTCCTTCACTCTTCTGCATTCATACTCACTCATACTCAGACTCAGCCACACGCAGGCTCACTCGCACTTAGACTCGCTCATATCCATACTTACACTTACTCACATTCAGACTCACGCTCAGAACCACTCATGCTCAGGCTCGCTCCTGCTCAGACTCATCATCTTTCGGTCCGCTCAAACACAAACCGACTCACACTCAGACTGCCTCACATCCATACCCACTCACACTCGGCTCACTCGCACTCAGATTCATTAACACACACTTTTTCTCACACTCAGACCCACTCAAGCCCAGATTCACTCATGCTCAGACTCATCATGCCACGACCCGCTCAATCACAGACTGGCTCACACTCAGATTCGTCCATACTCAGACCCACTCGCAAACAGACGCACTCGCGCTCATACTTACTCACACGCATACCCACTCAAACCCAGGCTCAATCGCACCCAGATTAACTCACACTCAGAATCCGTCGCTCTCAGATTTGCTATTGGTCGCACTCGTGCTTGCAGACTGGGAATGTCTCGAGCGAGCGGTTCGCCCTCGCACGCAGGCGCTCATTGACAGATATCAATAGAAAGACGTACCAAGAGAATGAGATGCACATATGGGGAACTCCGCGTCGAGTCATTATTGTTATCGTTCTTGTCATCATCATCATCATCAACATCATCATCGTCAGCATCATTATCATCATTATCGTCACCAAGGTCATCATCGTTCTCCTCGTTATCATCGTCGAGATCGTCGAGCGTGTGAGACTGAGGGAGGAGAGGAGAAGGCGAGGGAGGTGTTGGTGAGGACTCGGCGCGGTCGGGGTAATAACAAGAACCCTATCCTTAGGACATGAAGAAAACACGAGGCGGAGGTACTTCGCATTGTTCGGCCTCAAGAGGCCCTCGCGGGGCTCTAGGGCCGTCAAAAAGCGACTCCGGATGACGAGCTGGCCCTGGGGGAGGGGTCCGGACTTGGGGGGGCACGTGAGGCAGAGATCAAGACATCGGATGCCTGGGGGTCAGAGGCGACGGTTGAGACGAATAGCCCAGGGGCAGGCATTACACGTATTCGCCGGGGTGCCTCGCCGAAGACATGGACGATCGGCGCTGGCTACATGCATTGCTCTCCCGTGGGCTATTCGCCCCCATCGCCGCCCCCTAAAATGGGGGTGGCCCTGAGATTTCAAATTTTCCGAAATTGCGGCCGGGGCGTTGGTGGCTCAAGAACAACAGTCAGAACCATCAGGATATGAGCCCTCAGTTACTGCCCACCAGTTCGTCGGCCCACATTGTGATTAGCGGCGCGGAGGTGCTGCGTGTACCAGCTGCGTAACTGGCTAACTACCACGTAGATTACGATGTCAGCTAGTGTGGGTCCCAAACAGTGATTCTAATCCATGTTGAGCAATCTATGTTTTGCGATATATGTGGTGCAACATATGCGGTGTGAGCCATTTTGATCAATCTATTTGGAGCAATCTATGTAGTGCAATCTATGTGGTGTAAGCTATGTGATGCAATGAGTGTGGGACAATCCATGTGGTGTAAGCTATGTGGCGCAATTAATTGTTATTCGCAGTGAGTTGTCAACTTCACTGCTCGCGCAATCATTCCACCAACCCGCCCGCAACTGGGTTTAAAGCCCATGCGGCGGCAATTTCGAGGACTGCTTGGCGTCGGCTGGCGCATAGTTGCGGCCGCGCTAGCGCGCGCAGGCTCGCGCGCACAGCGGCCAGCTAGTCTGGCGCGACCGACGCGGCCGCGGAGTTGCTGACCGCTGGGGACTTCCCAGCGCGTCTCGCAGGCCGCGCTGACACTTCAGTGCGAGTCGGTGACTCGGGCGGGCACGGTATCATAGCGACGACAACAGCAGACACGATGAGATAGTAGCGATGCTGGTGACGTTGATGACGATGACGGCGGCGAGGCCAATGACGGCGCCGGTGCTGATCACGCCGATGAGTCACCGACACATGGACACCATCATCGTCATTGACGATGATGGTGTCCATGTGTCGGTGATGAAGGTCTTGCGGGGATTTAACCATGCGTGCGCCGGCGACGGGCGCGACGGGGCGACGGGCGACGGGCGACGGGCGAGACGCTTCGCGTAACCCCGCCAGCCCATCCAGAAACGATGCCCAGACGAGTTGCCCTGATCAGGGATGTGGAGGAGAATGTCGTAGAATAGAGGGCTTGATAAGACGGCGTGCCCCAAGAAGGGGGAGCATGGAGGAGGAATCGGAGGAGGAGCAGGAGGACGAGGTGGAGGAGGAGGAGGAGGCGTAGGAGGAGGAGGAGGAGGACGAGGAGGAGGAGGAGGACGAGGAGGAGCAGGAAGAGGAGGAGGAGGAGGAGCACGAGGAGGAGGTGCAGGAGGAGGAGGAAGAGCACGAGTAGTAGGAGGACCAGAAAGATGATGATGCTGATGATGATGATGAGGATGATGATGAGGCCGATGACGATGCTGATGATGGTGATGATCATGATGCTGATGATGATGCTGATGATAATGCTGCTGCTGCTGATGATGATGATGATGATGATGATGATGATGATGATGATGTTGATGCTGCTGATCATGCCGATGATGATGATGATGACGATGATAATGATGACGATGATGCTGATTATGCTGATGATGATGGTGATGATGCTGATGCTGATGCGGATGCTGATGTTCTTGATGCTGATGATGATGCTGCTGATGATGCTGCTGATGATGATGATGACGATGATGATACTTATGGTTGTGATGACGATGGTGATGATGATGATGATGCTGATGATGATGCTGACGATGGTGATGCTGATGCTGATGATGATTGTGATGATGATGGCGATGCTGCTGCTGGTGATGATTATGCTGATGATGATGATGCTACTGATGCTAATGTGGATGATGCGGATGCTGATGATAATGATGATAATGATGATTATGATGGTGATGCTGCTGATCATGATGATGCTGACGATGATGATGATGCTGATGTTGATGCTGCTG